CCTTACACAATTGGTATTATGGATTACTAAGGATTATAAAGGGGAAGGGACTCTATTCAATCATATCTGATTCTCAGGAACTGTTTTCTTGGCAAGGTTTTTCAGAAGTGGTTTGCCCTTGCCTTCTTCCTAGGACTGAGAGAAAGTGAGTAGCCCAAGGTCATGCCCAAGGCAGGTCATGCCCTAGGCGGGACTAGAACTCACAGTCTCCTGGCTTGATGCCTTAACCAACTCTCAAGGATTGTGGTATTCAAATAATTATTATAATAACAGCAACATACTCTTTAGCCCCAAAATGTTTGTGGAAAACTATAGGCTAGTTTCATTTTTCTAAGCACACTAATGTTGATCTAACTATGAAAGTACCAGCGTAATACACGTACAAATAAACTTCCTTTTAACCTTGATGGACAATGCTGAGCTCAACAAACAATGGCACCGTTTTGGTCTCCTGAATAAGAGTTTCTGTATGTGTTTCAGTCATGACTGGTAAGCAATAAATATACAGATCCCCATCCATACATCCCCAAGGTACAAAGAAGTATAGACATCACTGTCCCCCAAAGAAATCAAAGGTCTGCTGATCTTCCACTACAAATTTTCCTATGGTTGTTTGTGTTCTTAAAAAAATGCCTCTCAGTATTTTCTGCCTTGGGCTAAACAAAACACAGGACAGATTGAAAGCCACTTGTAAATATTGAAAAGTACATTGGGGAATTTTTTTTCTTTAGTTAGTCTCTCCTCCATTATAGCCTAAAGCCCAGTTGTTCTCCAAGATAAATGGTGTTTCCTGCCACCTCCTTCTCAAATATAACAAGATTTCAGTTGCAATTTTTTATTCCTCCGGCATGCAACACCTCAGCCTGAAAGTTACCTGGATACACATATAAAACCTGTGAACAAAAATACAATACATATACATTTTAAACCCAAGCCTGGTAATATTTTTATTAAGGCCAACACAAAATCAGGATGATTACAACTGTTTCCTAAAAGTTAAACAACGGAAAACTATATTTTCTTAACTTTCTTATGCTTAATACAATGTCTGTTCAATTTCCTTTTTGTCATTCTTCATCTAAAGGCCCATTTCCAGAAGTAACAAAATCCATTCAATCATCGCTACATATTTACTGATTAGCAAAATTATGGATCAAGAAATTAACAAGGCAATAAATAAACATGGATTTGAATTTAAGGAGAATAGAGTTTTTCTTGGGATGAAGAAAATCACATGAAACCCAAGAGGCTAAACAGATATGCCACTCTGAAATCTCGAGTCCCAGGTTAGGATGGGATCAATTCCCAAATAGATGAGAATCTTGAAACATAGGGAAGATGCTAAATTTCAAAGATGAATCCACTTCGCTCCTAGAATGCACTCTGACTCAGGTTACATAAAATAAAATTCAAATCACCACAAGTATGCCATCATACAATAAATAGCAATACCCAGGACTACAGAAGTATGCTTGCTTAGCTTGGAATACCTTTTTTGATGAAGACATAAAGGTTTAGATTACTTTCAATCTCCAACTTAACCTTTGCCCCTAATAGCCTTTTAAAGATATTGTCTTTTCTTCTTACTGTTGCACCCTAAGTAGAATAAAAAAAAATGAAAAGTGAGGGGAAAAATAATCACTCATACCCAAAATGTTAGTTTAAGATGCAATCCTAAACAATCATTTGAAAATAAATCACATAAATTTGTGGGACTTATGCTGGACTCTTAATCTAGTTCAGACTGGATATTCTTTTCCTCCCTTTTAATCAACCAGCACTCCATGCAACTCTTTTCTTTGCAATTTACATTCACCTAGAGGGGCTCATTTTAATTAGTGTTAACGGGAATATTACAATAGTGCCTAATTAAGATCTCTATTAAGAATCCAAAAATGCAAACTTAATTGGGAGGTGGTTGTAGAGAAAAAAATGATGAAAGTTTTACATTTTAATAGATGTAATTATTAATGGGTATATTCAATTAAAATCAGCCATTCAGATATTTTTGAAAACAAAAAAGGAGGGAAAGAGCAAATCTTCAAAGTGGCACATTCTTGTAAGAACTGCCTGCTGTTTAGGATGAATATTAGCAGTTTCAGAATATGAAGATAAATGCATCAGTTGCCTTTATTTAACCAATAATTTATTTAGTTATCTGCAGTACCAGTATACATATATATATACATATATATATATATATGCCCTCATTTAAATGTTTGAAAGTGTATGCTATCTGTGTTTGAAGAGTTTTCAGTGGCCCTGAAACAATTTGTTCTGCCTCTTACCTAAAACTACATACACACATAAACACACCCCTTGTCTGCTTTTCTATTCGAAGAAGGTATCATACCCTTAAGAATTACAGTCCCCACACACATTTAATACGTAGAATGCTTTGGCTCTTCCATTTGATTTCTTTTCCCCAAATCCCAGAAAGAAAACCCACTATTATTCCTAATAGTCCCATCCTCAGTTTTCCACCTTTGAATGACAATCAAAGAATGATGATTTTTGAGATTTAGATGTGTACGCTTCATTTCAGTCTCCAACTGATCATTGAAAAGAATTGGTTTTAAATCCAGCACGGCTTGAACATTTCCCAGTTATCCTCAGTCCTGAAGTCCAGAGGAAAAGACAGCTGCTTTTCAAGTCATACAGTACCTTTTTGTTCTGGTTCTGTGCAAAAGGACTAGTCTAAAATTACAGGCACCTACTTCAAACACATTGTGCCAAGACCCCGCTCTCTGGAAAAGGCTCCAGTGCTTGAAAAGGTGGAAGGAAAGAGAGGAAGAGGATGATTAACTAATAGCAGCAAAGTGGATGTGTTCAGATGCCATGGTAATGAGTGCACCATTGGGAGACTTGAAAGAGCAGGTTAGGGATAGATCATCAAGGAGAAAATCTATCTATATGGTCACTAGGCTCGAAAATGATGGCACACAATTAATCAACCAACTATATGGTATTACTTTAAGCCCTGCTTTACTTAAGATAAAGCATCGAGTTTAAGGCTGAGTTGAAAGTTGAATCCATCTCTCATCTGAGCTATCACTCTCTTCTCTGAATTCAGAGGCAGAATGCACAATACACATACAGAAGACCAAGGTTCAATCCTTGGCATCTCCAGATAAAGCAGAAAAACTCTGCTTGAAACCTTGGCGCTGTCAGTTCATAAATATGTCAGTGATCTAACTCAATAGAAAGCCTCTGATGTTCCGATGCCCACATCTAAGCTAATTGTCTACCTGCAGTCTCTCTTTTATGTTGTATCAACCAGTTCAAAGCATCTTGATTTTCATCAGCTGATTTATATGAATGAGAGTTCCTCTTTCCCACATCCCATTAAAGAAAAAGAAATGCAACGACAATGCTGCGCCTAAATCTCCTTTCCCATTTAGCGCTGACAAACTGAATCTAACAAAACCGAAAGAACGGAGCCTGCTAACTCCTGTATTAATATCAAACTGGTAAAAGACGGAGGTGATGGGGAAAGGAAGGGGAGAGAAGGGAAAACAAAAGCTAAGGTATGAATTTGCACAATACAGTAACCTTCAAGCCCCGCTCTTATTTGCTTTTGTGGGTTGGCACTTTCTCAAGTTATCTCTTATTTCCTTAGGAGCTACTTTGCTTCAGACTGATTCTATAATTCTAAGGGAAACTCTTACTGCGAGCTCCCTGCTGAGGTGTAATAATGTGTGTGTGATAACATAAGAGGAAGGGGGGGAGCACCGTTGGGTAATAAATCCCCTCTCCTCTTCCAGTCTCTGGCAATTCAGCTTGGGATGGTGAGGCTGATCTCGCTCAGAGAGATTAGCTCTGTATTGTTATTCTGCACAGCAACCCAACTTCTCTGGGAAGGCTGCAGAAGAAACAATAAAGAGAAGGAAGGATTTGGCTATGCGCTGCTCCCACCCTCCACTCTTTGGAGCCGGTAAAAGAGCAAGAAGGGTAAAAGAGGAGGGTAGAAAAAGGAGTGACAACGCCATCCTCTTGGCTATCTTGATAGTTTCTACCCAGAGGTTTTAATTAAGAAAGTGTCGGTCCCCAGAACTCAAACGCAGGTTTTCGCCTTCAGTTTCATCCCGACCTCCCGCTACCCTAGACCGTCGAATGAAATAAACCCAGAACCTCTATATTCTCTCCCCCCAATCTAGGCAGGATCCAAAAGTTCCCTGGGCAGTCCTAAACCTGGGCCAGATTGCTCAGGAGCCAGCCCTTCTCCAGAGTTCAATGACACGCGTTTCCAAGAGCGCCACGCCGCGCGGCCACCCTAGTTTCCAAGAGGACTGCAGGGGCAGGAGGTCAAATGTCGCGTCCTCCGGCATCCGGAACGCTCCATGCCGCTGCGAAACCCCCCCCCCCCCCCCTCGTCTCTTGCCTTTGAAGGGGAGGAGGAGGAGGAGGGCACCCGCTGGAGGGGCGGTGTAGGACAAGCTGCGGGGCTCATCTCCCCACCGCACAAGGATCGGCGGGTTCGCCTCGGAGCCCGCCTCTCGGAGCGCGCGCGCGCTTGCTCGCTCGCCATAGCTGGGGAAGGGGGGGAAGGGGGGGTTAAGCCAAGCGTCTGAACGCCTCCCCCGCAAGAAATGAATCATCTCCCCGAGCCAGGCTCCGGAGCAGCCTCGCACACCAGAAGCATTGAGCAGGAGGGGCGGCAGCGGCTGGCGTTGGCAGAGCCCCCTGCCTCCGCCCGCCCTCGCGCGCCAGGATTTTCCTTGTGGCGCGCAGATGCCGCTCTCCCCAGCCCGAATCGTGCGCGCGCCTCCACCCTCCCCCCCCACCCCCGCTGCACCTGAGGAAAGGGGGGGAAGCCAAGCAGAGCCCCCCCTCCTCTTCCTCCTTCCCACGCAAAGCCCCTTAAAGCAGAGATCAAGCCCGGCCGGCCAGCCCCTTTGCCGGAAGCTCCCGGGCAGCCCTCGAGGGTGACTCACGCGGTCTCAGTAGTCCCTGCGATGGGGGCAGGCAAGCGCAGGAGCTCCAAGTCCCTTTGCACTGAGCGACATCCCAGGGGCTGCCCAGCGTCAGAAGGAGGAGGCGGTGGCTAAGGCGACCGAGCGCGTGGAGCGAGGCCGGGAAAGACTGGGAAGACGAGCCTCTTCTGCGCTCGGCTCCGGCTTGGCAGGCTGGCAGAACATGCGGCTGCGCCCGAGCCGCCTATAGCCCGGAGCGAGCGAGCGAGCAAACGAGAGGAAGGAACGCGCGAACCCGCCCCCGTCGCGGGGGAGGGGGAGCCCCGAAGAGGCCACGTGCGGCAGCACCTGCGGCCGCCTCCCAGCCCGTCCCCCGCCACAAACTTGCGCAGCGAAGGATAAGGCTCCCCGAGCAACCTCTCGCTCTTCTTTGGATGTATCAATTCGGGGGCCCTTCCACCTCCCTATCGACACCCAGAGGCATCTATGCTTCCTGCAAAGTGAGAATTCCGCCCGGGTCTCCCAAATCCCCTATTCCACCGGTATCTGAGGTGGTAAGTATTTAAGACGCTGGGAAACTCTAATCCGAGTTGCTTCTCTGAGCGGGCTGCAAAGTACAGATACAGGATGGTTCTCAAGTATGGGTCTTGGCAGAAATTCCCTTATACATGATGCATGAATCCAAGTCCTGATCTTTCCATCCCAAAGAGGTTCACTTGCCAGCCATTCCGTCTCCTGAATTCCTAAGTATCTCCCATCATTCCCACCTGAATATGCACCTGTTCTATTCTGCCTTCCCAAAAAACTGCTCCAGCAAAAACCAGTCAACAAATATTCTATTTGCGACACACCAATCTAAAGCTGAATTTCCCCGATCGTAGAAGATAATGTACATTTCCTTCCAAAAAAGCAGAGTAAAAGTTTATCAATCTTCTTCTTACTACTGCTACACTATACAGTCAGACATACACACTGCCATTCTCACAAACAGCAATTTGGCACCTACCAGCTTAAACATTCTCAAGTCTATATAAGATAACCATCCCTTTCAAGAAACAGTCCCCAGTAGTGCCTAAGTTTTGCACTCCTTCAAAGTTCTCAGTACTCATTAAAGACAGTTACTTCCTTCTGAAGAAATATGTTGTTCATTGTCTGTACTAGCCAGGTTTCATGTCTTTTTAGTAAAGGGCATGCATTCTTTTCCTTTTAAATCTAGTTCAAACACTTTCTTACATCAGCTCATCAATTCTATCTGAAAATATATTAATTCTTTTTTTCAGCAGGTTTCCAAGGATTCCTTCACCTTTCCTAGTGACAATTTTCTTAGCCTCGGGGTTTCAACTACCTTTCAACTACCTGAAGGAGTAATAGCTGCTTTATCATCCTACGCTCTGAGATCATCAGCTAAAGGCTCCCCGTCTTTGTTCACCCCTTCTCAGAAATGAACAAACAGAGGGATTCATGTCACCCTACCTTATAGAATGCTTCTTCAGCACTGCTTCCTTTTCAGAAACAATATTGTTTTTATTTACTTGGCCTTTTAAAGGATTGAGATGGGATGGTCACCTCCCATATTTACCTATGCTAGCATAGTGTCTGGTTATCTGAGGGACAGCTAACTCCAATTGTTTTTGCCCACTACAGATCCCTTCAATTAAATGTTGCCATCTTGTGGGATCAAGGAAACATGTCTCCTTTCGTGTCATAGATCCTGCCCCCAGGAACAGCATCTCCCCAGATTTCAGAAATGTAGACAAGCACTTACTTTCCTGGGGTTCCAGAAGGCCTTTAAGACCTGGCTCTATTCCCAGGACTGGAGTTCATAATTTTTTAGGACAGATGACAAGCTTTTAATTTTCCCAAACATTTTAAGCAGAATTTTGGTGTGTGTGTGTGTGTGTGTGTGTGTGTGTGTGTGTATCATTTTGTATCTAATAATAACAAAGTGATTATACAAATAACAAAGTAAAATAGTTCAAATGCAACAGTGACATTGAGTAGAATACAAAGTAGTTGCCACCACAGAGAAGTCCACAGCACTTGGTATTGATTACCAGTATTATTTAAACATCATTAAACACAGGAAATCCACAATTAATGATCATAAGGAATGTATTTTGGGGTGGGTACTTGTAAGATCTGGGCACTCCTTGCAAAAAAACTGTTGGTTTATGGACATAATGACCACTATATGGTAGAAAGAGTTGGTCTCTTTTAACTACAAGGCTGTGGTTGCTTGGAATTGTATAGTCCAAATGCAGCTGCTGCGTGAGTGCTCTTGAAGGCAGATTTGGGGGGGGGGGTATTGATGTTTGAGAAAGACATTCAACCATATAGTGCTCCCAGGCACATCTACATAATTTATCCAAAATGGTTATTGACCTTTCAACTAACAACAAAGAATTAGTTTTTGTCTCTCTTACCTGCCATCTAGTGGTTGTCTGAATTTGTGCAGCTATTACTGAAGAGCTGAGATTTGACAAATCACTTTCCTGATTCTTATGTCAAATCACACACAGCATATAGGCAGATCTCATCATCCAATAGGGTAGGAGAAAGGAAAAAACAGAGCTATGTGTTAAAATGTTGTATCTGTACAAGATTGCACTCTACAATAGACATGGTAACAGGAAAACCATATTAGCACCGTTTCCAACTAACAAATTTCCAATTAACAAAAAACTCATAATTTTTAATCTATAGAGTGAGGAACTTTCTGTGCAGAGGAAACTGGAGAGCCCACAGGTTACATAAAACACTACGCCATTTTGTTATGTTCTGAGAGGGGAGTTTCTTTTAATTTCTACCAAAATATACATAGAAGTATATTTTGTAATTACAGCTTTCTATTTTGCGACACATCAGCTTTTGGATGACATCCCAAAGAAGACGTGATTGGTGCTGATTCTTTTGGCACCCAATCAAAGCCTTTTGGCTAGCATATTAGCAGATGAGTCAAGCCCCCATTTTTGGGGGGGTGAAGTCTGTTGAAAGGAGAATGGTTGGATGATGACCACTAAATGGACAATCCTTCTACTATATGGGTTAAAGAAGATTGGTCTGCCTGGTCTAGACTGATGACTCCCACTTTAATTGATATGAAAGTTGCAGAGGAGGCTGGTCTTACTTCTGTTTTTATTTTTATCTTTTTTATCTTGCATGTTTTTGCCCATTCTCTCCTTTAGTCAGAGCAGTTTGACTGGAAGAGTTTCACATCAATCTTTCAATCTCAGTTTCCTGAAGTGTGTGTTGTGAGTTGCCAATAATTTCTCTAGTTATTCCATACTAATTTTTGTAATATATCATCATTCTTATTAAAATGTGAATATATATCTGTATTTGAGCCTATTTTTCTTAACGTGTGCCATTTTCCAAATGCTGTTAAGATACGTGTTAACATTTTGGAGTTATGATGTCTCAAGAGGATTAATAAGATACCAGATACCTATTATCAATTGTTATGGCACTATCTACTATACAGGATCGTATATTTATATCATGACCTTGATTAAGAATTCCAATCAACTATCCAATGAATATTTAGTGTTTGAAGCTCAGTAAGTTATAACCATGTCACCATAAGGAAGGTGGCTAAGAAAACACAATGAGTAGTCATTAATACTCAATCATTGACCTCTCTTTTGAAGGTTATGTTGTTATGTAGCCATGATTATCTGGAAATGAGTCCTATTTAATTAAAAATAATATTTATTGTTGTTTTCAAAACACACGAAAGACTTAGGTGATCTATTCAAATTACCATGTATACATGCAGATAAACTGAGAACTTTACACCCAAAATACACCCCCAAAATTGAGTTTGGCTTATCCTGAGGTGAGTTTATCCATGAGTATATATAGTAAATGTATCAGATATCAAGCCATCTCACTCTTTGTGCCAATCTTTTGAGACAGCCCACACTAGGAAACCAAAGACATGAATGCCAATACTGTCAAGTTCAGGCCCAGAGATGATATAGTAAAGTCCAATTGAGTTCAGTACTTGTAGTGCTTACGCCTAATGGACAGAATCTTGCCAAAGTACAGCTACAACCTTCTAACTTACTAGATATATCCTGAGGAATTCTTGGGTATGGCTACCCTAAACCTCTTCACCCCTCCAGTTCAGGACTATACACTCTCTCAATCTGGGTCTCTCTCTGGGAAAAGTATATGTTGCCAAAACTCTCTCACATACTTCTCCAGGAGCACATTCCGTCATAACTACTACTTTTTATTATAAGGTTAAAGTAGGAGAATCTTGCAAAGTCTGAATGCATCTCCTCCTCCCTCCCCTTATCTACAAGAAAACTGCGGAGGGTGAACCTGAGATGATTTATCAAATTATATTTCTCCTTTAGACTCAAATTTCTTTTTCTAACCAATGTCTTAATTGTGTCTCTTCCTCCTGCTCCCCAAGGTGATTCTGTAAGATTGTGTCATGCCAGACCTTTGGTTCTACAGTTAGCTGCAAACAATATGAAGTATTTTCCAATAGCAGTTGCTTTCCAAGGTTTCCTGAAAAGAAAGGGGAAATCCAGAAATGCGCATAAATAAGTTTAATATTTTGTCTGTGTTCCTGATTTTGAGCTACTGAATGCTCTTCAACTGTAGAGTTGTCACTCAACAAGATTCTTTTCTTTCTCCAGCCACCTTGAAAATATAAAGACAATTAGAGAAGTTTCAGGGTTTTCTGGAGAATATTTAAAATTCTGTTGTATGTAATTTGGGACATGACAAAAATGTCTTGCTCAAATTCATACCCTTTGTCCTCTCTAGCTTTGGGGAAGGCCTTTTTCCTAGTTATGCTATTTGAAAACCTTTCCACTGAAGAAGACTTTGTGCAAATGTGGATGTGTGCTTTGTCACTAAATTTGCCCTACAGGATGGTAAGATAATATGGGAAGAAAAAAGGAGAAGAGAATATTTTAAGACTGTTATGAATGTAAAGTACATGACCAACCTGGTGTGGCCTTTTTAAAACAAAGGGGCAAATTTGGTAGAAGAACATGGGAAGAGATTGGTAAAAAGGGGGTTTCCCATCTCCCCAACAGTCTCTGATTAACAAATTGGAATATCCAAGAAGGTGAAGAATTCAAAATAATTAATTGCAGCAGAGAAACATTTGCTCTGGGAAACGTCTATTTCTTAGAAATAGGAAAAACATATGGTCAGGAATTTGTGCTGTTTTATCCCCTTATTAAATTTCAGTTTGCTGTGTTAAACCTCATATTCTTTACGGCTCTGTAACACTTATGGAAATCTTTAATGTCAGCTTTCCATCAAATATCAGGCTATGTTCATGAAGATTTTTTTTTTTTAATTTAGAAACATTCTGTGCTCTCTTATAATATTTGTAACCTTTCTTCCAGGAGAGGAGATTTGGAACCTCTAGGCTTCCATCCTGCAGGACTCAGCAATTAACTAAAAAGACATATATGAAGCGTGAAAAGAATCAGACCACAAAAATCTGAGCAAACATTTAACAGGAATAAAAAAAAGGACAAGAATGTTTATCTACAAGGCTAAAGCATTCCAAATATATGGCACCATATCTAACCAATAAGATAAAACTATTGGCCTTGAAATTTGAAATATCATTATATGTGCACTCACATTTATAAACAAAAATGAATAAATGTAGTAAGAAAAAGAAACTGCAATAAAAATAACCCAATATTGGTGAGTTAAGAAATAAAACAAGAACTGGAAAACATAAGGTTAGTAGGAAAAGATCAAACTGAAGGGTTTTTCAATGAGAAATGGGGAGGCTAGAAAAGGAGAGAACAATCTGGTCTGGCAAGAATAAAAAAAAAAACCACTACCAAACATTACTAAGAAAGAAAGAAACCTCTGTTTAAAGAATGGCATAACAGCAACATATAGCAAAATGTTTAGCCAAAATATTTGGCTAATGTATGTAGTTAACCAGACATAATGGCTTATTATATATAATATTAAGTCATAATGGGTGGGTTTATATATCATGCTAAGCCAGAAACAAGCATCTCATTGACATTTTATTTTATTTATTTTATTAAACTTTTATGTCCCCCATCACCCCTTTAAGGTGACTTTGGATCAGGTATGAGTAAATTCATGAAATGCGTTCTTCTGGATTCTGCCCCACATTCCAGTTTAAGATTTAACTACTCAAATATTTTCCCAGTCATACTGAAAAAAATTATGTCAGCTCGCTCGTGTCAGAAGTCCTAAAGTCGCCTAATCCGGTGCAAAACTGCTACTTAGCAACATGGATTGTTTGTTTGTTTGTTTGTTTGTTTAGATTTATATACCGCCCTACTCCCAAAGTAGGTGAACAGACAAGATAAAACACATACAATATAAAATTTAAAAAACAATTTAAAATGTATTAAATAAATTTGGCCCATATTAATTAAAATACCCCTGTTTTTAAAAACAAATTAAAATTAAACAATTAAAAAGAGTTAAGCCAGCCCAGCTTGTTGAAATAAAAAAGTCTTGGCGCGGCGGAAGGTGCATAAATCCGGGATCCTCCGTATCTCCGGGGGGAGTTGGTTCCAAAGGGCAGGTGCCCCCACAGAGAAGGCTCTCCCCCTGGGGGCCACCAGGCGACACTGTTTGGCCAACGGCACCCTGAGGAGCCCCTCTCTGTGGGAGCATACTGGCTGGTGAGAGGCTACCGGTGGCAGAAGGTGGTCTCATAGGTATCCAGGTCCTGAGCCATGGAGCGCTCTAAAGGTGGTAACCAATACCTTGAAGCACACTTGGAAGACCACTGGGAGCCAGTGCAGCTCGCACAGGAGAGGTGTTGCATGGGAACGCCATGTCGCTCCCATAACCACCCAGGCGGCCGCATTCTGGACCAGCTGGAGCCTCCGGGTGCTACTCAAGGGGAGCCCCATGTAGAGAGCATTGCAGTAGTCCAGGCGGGAAGTGACGAGGGCATGAGTGACGGTGCATAAGGAGTCCCGATCCAGAAAGGGACACAACTGGCAAATCAGGCGAACCTGATAAAAAATCCCCCTGGCCACAGCCATCAGATGTTGTTCTAAAGATAGCCGTGTATTCAGGAGGACACCCAAGTTGCGAGCCCTCTCTGTGGGGGCCAATGACTCGCCCCCAATAGTCAGTGATGGCACCAACTGGCTATATCGGGACGCCAGAAACCAAAACCACTCGGTCTTGGACGGGTTGAGCTTGAGTCTGTTTCTCCCCATCCAGATCCGCACGGCCTCCAGGCTGCGGTGGAGATGTACAGCTGAGTGTCATCAGCGTACCGATGGTACTTCACCCCGAAACCACGG